CCCGGAGCTCCTGGGAAGTTTCTGATCTACTTTCGGCTGCGAAGGAGGAAGAGCTGCTGGGAGGAGCTTTTCATTTCTCGCTTCTACCTTTTTATTGGCTGCTCGATGACTTTTGCAGCCTGTCACTGATACAGGAAGAGACGGCCGAGCGCCTGGGAGAGAGCTACATTATTAATTAATGGAGCAGCCCCTGGTGAAGACTCCGAAGCATCCTCCATGTTGGAGGTGATCCGCCCCAAGATCTGGGGCAAGCGCTGGGGTTCCCTGAGCACCCGGCGAACCAAGGGAAGCCTTCATCTTCCAGTCGGGCACCCACCCTGGCGACACGTTGGGGAAAGGATTCAAATTACGATGCAGCTTGTAGTTCAAGATGGGAAGAGAAGGGAGGACTAATAAAAAATAGTAAATTTGGTACTTTTTTCTTCAAATTAGAATTCGTGCCTCTACAAAATAGTTTGCTTGCGTAAACACCCAGCTTGAAAATATCTTTCTTGATAGCAGTTCTCTAATACTTAGGGCAATTCAGACTTAAATAGCAGAGGGAAAAAGATGTGTGGAAAACATCATCATGTCTAAAGGGCTCTCACATATTTAAAACTAAAAAGCACATCTTGAAAAAGTAATTATTTAACATGCTACTGACAATGTTTTACAAAGGGTCAATGTTCTTTGATAAAGTACTCAGAATTTTACAGACTGAAATTTCCCATGCAACTTTCCCATGTCAGTACTTTTCACTTTGAAACTAATTTTAATGCACATAAGACAAGTGACTGGAATCAGATTTTTTAAACTAGAAATTCAGACTGTTCCCATTTTGTTTTATTTTTTGCTACTGCCCTGATGCTTGCAAATAAGTTTGAAGAAGTTGAAAGATGAATTTCTTCTATTTATCAAATCTGTGACATACTCATTACAGAAAGTGAGCCTATCATTATGCCTTTAAGCATAATGTGTGGTATATATTGAGGCCAAAATGCAAGGAATCTATATATAAATCTCAAGAGTTACTATTTTGTAAACTTCTTTCAGGATGCTTTTATAGTGGTTAGCAATATACACATTTTGCGAAAGGCACATTATTCACTGGTTGTTTTAAAAATCAGTATTAATGGACCCTTCTGTACAAATATAGAAGTCACAGGGCTTGGAAATGCGTACAGTAGTGTTTAGCCTGGTGAAACTCTTCAAAAAACTATGCCCTCAAAGAATTGGTGTTTTCAACTGAGTGACAATATATTAAGTAAAATACGATTGACAGTTTTAAAATCTCATATATTTTAAAAGAGAGACAATAGGATTGGCTAATTTTCCATCTGAATTGAATTTCAATTTAATCTCAATTTAAGCTAAAGACATGAAATTCTGCCTGGACACCTAAGTACTTCTGTTCATTAAACATCAACATTCGAGGAAATTATTTTGTTAAACATCTTTAGCAAAAGCAATGTTGGTTTTATTTTATTAATAAATACATATATTTAAAGATTTTTCCTTATACTAACATAAATTGGAAATTGTATTCTATTGAAAACTGTGTAGTACCACCAAAATACTATTATACTCAAATTTTAATACTCTCACAACTCTGAGTTTTATAGTTTCTTTTCATGATTTGCAATGTTAAATATATGTAGTTGTTCATCGATAACTCAGAATAGTGTAAAGACAGGAAATTATAATTATGCTAAAAAGCTTAGCTTTGATATGTTTCTAACAATCGATTAAATTGATTACACTCATTAATAACACCTAAAGTTATTCTATACACATTCGCTACTAGAAGCTTACCTAATCTAGTAGTTATATCGACACATCCACTACTAAAAGCTGACCTGAAATGATGATGGCAACAAATGTACACGTGTGTTTGACGATGGATGTATGGATTGTGATAAAATGTTTTTAAATAAAAACTGACCTAATTTATTAATAATTTCTATTGAAACATGTTGATCTAATTTTACCAGAGCTTGGTTTAATGGAATTAGGTTAATGTTTGCATAGAAATCTCAAATTTGCCCCACCTGAAATAATTAAGAGTCAAAATAAAACTATGAAATGTAAATTTACAATCTTTGGCTATCGTAAGTTTCCCGTTACTTATGAACTGGTTAGCACAAAGGCTTTCCCTAGGTGAGGTGATGAGCATAGGACTTAGCGCAGAAAGGAACCTGTAGAAACTCTGTAATTCTCTCATGTTGTAATCAAGGACACTGCAGGACACTGCAGGACCAGTGACCAAGTTCACATAGTCCTTAGGGCCGAGCTGAATTGGAATTTAGGCCTCTTGAGTCCTGGTCCGGGCTCTTTTGACAATCTTTCCCTGGATTTAAAAAAGTCTAAATTTCCTTGCATACCCTACTCACAGTGTATATATAAGTGAACTAAAATATTCCAAACTCTTATAGAAATGTTTATATAAATATGCTATATTACTGATCATCAGAAATAATATATATATTAGGACTATCCAGGGGAAATAGTATATAGTCAAATGAATTGGGTAATAAAAAATCTTAAATTTGTCTAATTAAACATTGGACATGAATCCTATTACCTATCTTCATGCTTCAGTTAACACATAACAAGTATGTATTTCTTACCTCTTTATTTGTTTTAATCATTTTATTGGGGGCTATTACAGCTCTTATAATCCATACATCCATGTGTCAAGCACATTTGTACATCTGTTGCCATCATAATTTGCAAAACATTTTCTTTCTACTTGAGTCCTTGGTATCAGCTCATTTTTCCCCTCCCTCCCCCACCCTTCCACCCTCATGAACCTGTGATAAAATATAAATTATTATTGTTTTCATCTTGCCATCATCCACTGTCTCCCCTTCGCCCATGTTTCTGTTTTTTTGTCACCCAGGGTGGTGGTGATGGTGGGGGGGTTATAGGTCTATCATTGCAATTAGTTCCCCCCTTTCCCCATCTTCCCTCTACCCTCATGGTATCGCTACTCCCATTATTGTTCCTGAGGGGCTTATCTGTCCTGGATTCCATGTTTTGAGAGCTCTTATCTGTACTGCTGTACATGCTCTGGTCTAGCCAGATTTGTAAGGTAGAACTGGGGTCATGATAGTGGTGGGGAAAAAACATTAAAGAACTGGAGGAATGTTGTGTGTTTTGTCAGTGCTATACTGCATCCCGGCTGGCTTTTCCCTTCCTTGTGACCTTTCTGTGAGGGGATGTCCAATTGTCTACAGATGGGCTTGGGGTCTCCACTCTGCCCTCCCTCATTCTCATTAATATGATTGTTTGTTTTGATTCTTCTGATACCTGATCCTGTCTACACCTCATGATCACATAAGCTAGTGTGCTTCTTCCATGTGGGCTTTGTTGCTTCCCAGCTAGGTGGCCACTTGTTTATCTTCAAGCCTTTAAGACCCCAGACACTATCTTTTGATAGCCGGGCACCATCATCTTTCTTCACCACATTTGCTTATTCACCCGCTTTGTCTTCAGTGATCATGTTGGGAATCTTACCTCTTATTTAACAATGCTATTAATGTACTTATCATATAGGTGCCCTGAGCTCTTTTGAGAAAGATGGTTTATAAATATTGAAGATAAATCTTTAACTTTGTAGCTCCTTTCCTTACATATTGCTGATGCTTATCTCAATTCATCTAGATTTGCATTTTTTCAAATGTCTAATTCTAAGCATGTTGCCTATAAACCCCCAGACTAAACCCAAGGCCATTGAGTCTATTCCAATTGCCAGCAGCCCCAAGTAGGGTTTCTGAGGCTGTGTAAATCTTTACAGGAGCAGACGGCCTCATTTTCTCTCCCCCAGAGCTGTCCACTTTGTGGTTAGTAGTCCAACATTTACCCCACAGTGCCACCAAGATTCCTTTGTTACCTACAAAATATTTCTATATATTGTAATTTAGAATTCATGTGTTTCTGCATATTTGAAACAATTGGCCTAGTGTTCAGGGAGTGTTTCTAGATCCCGATTGCCCAGTGTAACACTGGAGGGATTTCTAAAAAGTAGTAATCTCTGGGCCCTATCCTACACCAACTGAAACAATCTATGGGATAGGGCCTTCTCGGCATTCTCAGTTTTAAAATCTACTCCGGTGATTTTCTAATGTACTGCCAAAGCTGAGAAGTACTGTGCTCAAAGGACGTTAAATTATTTTTACCGAAGTAGTAATGTGACAGATTTAGAATGCATCTCTTTATTCAACCCCTTATGAATAAAACCAACAACAACAACTAGGAATTAAGGTGATAATAGGAATCTACAGGAACCCTGGTGGCATAATGGATTACACACATTAGGTTGCTAACCACAAGGTCAGTAGTTCGAATCCACTAGCCGATCCACTGGAGAAAGATGAGGCTGTATGCTCTTGCAACCATCTACAGCCCCAGAATCCCTAGGGAGCAGTTCTATCCTGACCTATAGAGTTTCTATGAGTTGGGATTCACTTGGCAGTGGGTTGGGCTTGGTTAGGAGTCCCTGAGTTGTACAGTGCTCATCTGCTAACTGGAAGGTTGGAGGTTTTGGTCTACCCAAAAGTGCCTTGCAACAAAGACCCGGTGATCTGTTTGCTGAAAAACAACCAGGCATTGAAAAGCCTATGAAGCACAGTTGTACTGTGATCCACCTGCTGTTGACATGAACAGTGGCATCACTATAGTTACCTGTGTGGTAACTGACTGATGGGGTTACCCACCACCATGGACCTTCTCCCATACCAGACCTTACAGAAGCCTTCACCCACTCACTCACTCACTCACTCTACTCACTCACTCACTCACTCGACTCCTAGTGACCCTGTAGGACAGAATACAACCTCCCCCATGGGTTCTGAGACTACATCTTTACCATAGTAGAAAGCTGGTGATTTTGAACAGCTAACCAGCATGTAGCCCACGATACTGTACAGGCTCTTACTATAGAACCTTTAGTAATGTTTATTACCAATTGTAATCATAGACTAATATTTGATATAGTTGTCAGTTACCTAAATGCAATATTTCTCAGATTGCATACTAATAGCAAAAAAATATTATATATATAAAATCACTCTATAATTCAAGCAGAATTGTACAATTGCTACCACAATCAGTTTCCATCCTTTTCTTTTAATTACATCCTCAGTAAAATTGTTGATATAGGCTCATAAATACTAATTACCGCAATAGTGTAACTAACACCCGAAAAATGGACAAGATCAGTGACTATAAAAATACTAGC